GCCGCCGTGCGGGCCAGCCCCAGGCTGCTGTCGTGCAGCTTGCGGACGTGCTTCTTGAGGTCAAAGTTCCTGCAGAAGCCCTTGCCGCACGTGGGGCAGGTGAAGGGCTTCTTGTCGTTGTGGGTGTGCATGTGGAAGGTGAGGTTGTAGACCTGGTGGAAAGCCTTGTTGCAGATATTGCACTTGAACTGCTTCTCCCCACTGTGGGTCAGCTTGTGGTTTTTGTAATTCCCTGAAAGACACAAACCACAGGAAGGCGGATTTGAAAAGAGGGCTGGAACCCGAGGGCGCGGAGGGGTGGAAGGGCCAGGCAGGAGGAAGCGCTGCCGCAGCTCGGACAGCCCGCAGCCAGGGCAGGGCTCGGCGGCGCCTGCACTTCTCTCCCCGCGTTTATTTATAAACAGCAGCAATGAGGCCCTTCCCTCCACCTTTCATTGTATTCATTAATCCAATTATCTAAGATGAGAGGAAGTAGCTAGGAAAAATACCCCCTTGGTATAGGCAGCCTTCCTTTCTCTAAGACTAACCCGACTTCCAGCTAGGAGGTTGGGATGGCAACACACACGCCAGTTAACTAGCTGCGCTTTAAAAACCATTTTCTAAAACATCCCCAAACAATTGGGGTTTTTGGTAAGACCGCCGAGAAGACGGCTCCAAGATTTGATACCTTTTTGATGAAATCCTTTGCCACAGAATTCACATATGAACGGTTTGTAGCCCGCGTGTATCCGGGTGTGCGTGTTCAAAGTGGAGCTTCTGTTAAATGCTTTGCCACACTGGTTACATTTGTGAGGTTTTTCCTAAACAGGAGGGAGGGAAAGCAAAAAAAGTTACGGCGTTTTGTTATCAAGTGCAGTCCTGTAAACTCAGACACCCAGCCTGCTCTCCCTCGCGCTTTTAAGAAGAACAAAGGCAAACAACCCAGGCCCGGCATCTCCCTGTGTCCAGCTGGCCCATTCCAAACAAACCTTGCAGCGAAGTGTACGAGTTGATGGGCCGTTTTCTACAAACCAGGCGACATGCAGACGGATGGACATACCTGGGTGTGAATGATCTTGTGCCGGCACAGGGTGCTGGCTTGCCGGAACCCCTTTCCACACACTTTGCACACGAAGGGCCTGGCTCCCGTATGCACCGGCATGTGACGGGTTAAGTTGTAGTGAGCGTTAAAGACCTTAAAGTGAAACATCATGTAGAACAGGTTAGTCCAACGCGTACGGACTGTGAAATAAAATCGGGCGGAGGGAGGAGATCACCCTATAACAACTGTATACATATAATTACAAAATAAAATTTAAAAGGAAGGAAGGAGCGGGTGGGGGGGGGAGGGAGAACTCCTTTCTTCCTAGTACTTGCCTTTCCACACACTTCGCACGTGAAAACTTTGGGTTTGGCATTCGGAGAGCCTCGGCTGAAGTCGGAGGTTTTGAAGGCGATCTTTTCCGACAGGAGCTGCGCGCTTTCCTTCATGTAATGCTGCAGCTGAACCTGGGACAAGTCTTTGAAAGCTACGCCCGAGGGGTACTTCTCCGCGGCCGGGACCACCAGTTTGTTCCTTTCGGCTAAATACGTTTTTGGCTGCGGGTGCAAAGGGGAGCTGAGGAAGTAGGAGGCCACCGGGTGGATGTTCACGCCCGCCGCCGCCGGGTGGCACGGGCCGTCGCCGCGGTTCAGGTAGCACAGGGCTCCCATGGCGTGGAAGGAAGAATGGTTGACCACGCGCGGCCGCACCAGCTTGTACTG